GTTTTGTGATGAAGCTGGCCAATCTATTTATTACCTTAACCAGAACAGTCCACAAAGGGCCAGCTACCTTTGGCCACAACATCAGTCTTAATATAAGCATTTGAGTACTCTATTTGTATACTCTACTGTTAGATAACAGGAGCTCTGGTGGCCTACAGGTAAGAAACTGCACCAAAATTGCAAAGGCATGCAGTTCAAATCTACCATGTGTTCTGCAGGAGGATACACTTGTCCCATGCAATTGTCTGCCTCTGAAAACCCTCTGGAGGGCCAGCTATGGGTCTGTTCTGACTCGACAGTACACAACAGCAAATGTTAGATAGGTAACATTTCCACTGTAAGCAAGATTGTCCATCCTTCTTCTGCAGAGCAGCTGGTGGATTTGAACCACATGCCTTTGGGATTGCAGTGCCGTTACTTATATTGTTGTTGTTGTTGATTGCCATCGAGTTGAGCATGACTCATAGCAACCCTATGAAAAAAGGCCTGAAGCCTTTCTAGAACTACTATCATTTATCAAAGTTCATAAAGTTTCCAGAGGCACGCTGTTTAGGAAGTAGATGCCACTCCTGCTTCCAAATCTGTCTTAAACTGGGAGCTCCACCAAACACTGTCCACCATCGGTAACTGTTACGGCATTTGACTCCCCAACGGCACAAGGTTCAGCATCACAGCAATACCGGTAAATAACAGATTTTTTTGTTTTCTTGATTCATCTATATAGAGGATACCAACATTTTTCTAAGAACTAAGAAAATTGCATTTTACTCTATCGTTTTCCTGTTTTGACTTCATTCTTTTCCTTACCTTAATGATACAGGGTTATATAAAGAACTAAAAAAGCAAGAAGATGCTGCTGAACTCAGTGCTGATGTTCATTTTTGCAGAACCCCGTTGTAGGTGTGCACTGCTGTCCTTGGCTGCCATCGAGAGGGCTGCTGCCTCCTGGTGATCCCATGCACAACAGAGTGAAACTCCTCTTGTGACATTTTCCTGACTGACTGCAAGTCTAACCATGGGATGATACACAGGTGTTTTACAGGCTAATTTTTGGAAGGGACATGCTAAGCCTTTCTTGCTGGCCTATCTTAGTCTGGTGGTTGTGGTTGTTGTTGTTGTTGAGTACTGCCAAGTCACAACCAACCCATAGCTGAGCCTCTGGTGGGTTTTGGAGACAGATAATTGCATGAGAGGAGATTGCCCCATCCCTCTCCTGAGAAGCAGCTGATGGACTGGAACCACGTGCCTTCGGGACTGCAGCGCAGCTTCTTGCCACTCGGCCAGTCTGGAGACTCCACTAGAACCTGCCCAGCATCATGGCAACACAAAGCCTCCTCTGATGGATAGGGATACTGCACCTGGGGTGCCCTAGAAGAGGCTGGTGGATTTGAACTACCAACCATTCACTTACCAGCTCAGCACATCATGAACTATGCCCCCAGGGCTTCTGTAAAACAAAGTCTGATGTGAGAAGACGGAGAGAGATAATGTGCACTACCTGTTGATCTAACATTCCTCCCAGGCTTTGCTAATTTGATTCTGAATTAATGAGCCTGTTACATGATATCTAATAAAAAGGATTAGAGAAGCGATAATTCTTGAAATGTGCCACATACTTTGGTTCGAGGCTGAATTGGTTTCATCTATATTTAACACATGCTTGTTGTCTGTCTCACTTGTCTCCCCCACAGCTATAGTTCACTTTTCTTTTTTTCATCTGGGAAACTTATCTCCTAAAACGTTCCCATCAATCAGCCGAAGAAGCTCTTCCCGACAGAGCGTCTGCCAGTTTGACGAAGCACAAGTAGTCACTAGTTTAAGGACGCCTCCCACACTCTCTGGAGCTGTGTGTTTTTCTAGCCTGCCTAACCACACATATGCAATTTGGGATATTTATACTTCCCTTTGGCTTCTGGTGGGATTCTAGCACAACTTTGACAAAACTGGGCACAGAGAATGGGCTGATATGGTGGAGAGTGGAGGGCTTTCATCTTGTTCATCTACCTATTTGAACACTATGTCTTTGTATTTGTGCACTTCTACCCATTTTGGTCAATAAACATAAAAATCAAATGTGTGTGAAGACAGAGACATTTGGTCTCCAAAGCCTGTCTCATCTTCCCATTCAACAGGTCACTTACTGCTCCGAATACAGCCAAGACTCTAAACTTAAACGCAGCATGGAAAGAAATGAACAGAAAAGAGAGCAAAAGTGAGATTGGGAATAGAGGGCAAAGCACTGGTAGAAGTGGAGGAAAGAGAGGAGCCAGAGGCAAGCATCCCACGGGCTGCAAGGAGCGAACACTGCGTGGGCACAGGTGGGTCCCAGCCTCTCTGGCTAGAAGCAGCTCAAGCGCTGAGCCTGAATGAAGACTTTCATTGCTGTTTGCTGTTTTTGTTGGCCAGTCGCCATGGCAAACATTTGCAGGTGGCTTGGCCAGATTTTGACACTTAAATATTTGAGGTTGTGATAAAAATCAGAATATTACTACAATATGGTTCTGTGCAGCCTCAAAAAAAAAAAAAAGAAAAAGAAAAAGAAGGGGGGAAAGCAGCTATCTGCAATTTCAAATGCACATTTAAAGACACAGTCTCCAGAGGAAACTCATGTTTTAAAATAAGTACTCATTTCCCCTATGCTGAGGGGAATAAAAGAGCAAACCATCCCCAAATTGTACCACCTAGAGTTTAATACAGAATCCGCTGGTGAGATGGGCTGGGCTGCTTCTTGCTGAGCCCCCACGACCATCGGGCAAGATTTGGATAGGTCACATGGAGAGAAGTGGAAATGACAGGATGTGTGGGTTTGAATCAACATGGTAAGCACAACAGGGGAGAATCTGAAGAAAAGAAACAGCCTCCTTCAAGCTTGGCAAGGAGACAGAGTCCTCTAAGTGGCAATTATCTCCTAGGACACACCAGGAGGAGAGACGCACAGCCTCCCCCCACCTCCCTGTATCCAGAAAAAAATGGAAGATGAGGTGGGGCAGGAGAAAAACACCCCCTCCCACCCAAGCACAGTGACAGCATCTATGTATGTCACTCAGTGTACAAGACCAGTGGCGGTAAATTTGGGACAGATTCAATCACCCATCTTGGCAATCAGAGCTAACCCTTGTGCAATGGCTGAGTTCTAAGGACTCTAAGAAGATAGTTAGTGGTAGAGGAAAAGCAGGAGAACTGAGGGTGGGAGGAAAGAGCATTGTAAAAGGCTAGTGAACTTCAGAGTATTTCGTACTTCTATTTGTGCCCCCTCCAATACTTGAAAGAAAAAGAAAATAATTATCATTAGCTGGCTCAACTATGAATTGTCTACCTCAACTCAGCCACGCTGTTACTGAAGGAATCACCTGAGATTAAATGCTTGTTCAGTGAGCCCACCCCATCCTTTGCATATTTTAGGATCTTGCTATAGATGTAGGTTCATGTGAGAAGAAAAGAAATCTTTAAGACACACATTTGTCAACTGACTTCTTCAGACAAAGCCAAAGCATTGAAAGGGCCAAATTAATTTTTCTACTTCTTGACTAAAAAACCACAGCAAACTCACAGAATAGTCCTTATATACAAGTCTCCATTGTCAAAGGTGTGTTTTCACATGTCATAACCTAGCCTACTAAACTGAGAAATGTGAAAAATGAGGAATCCCCTTTAGAATGTACTTCTGCTATAAGAAAATAAGCCTGAGCTGGAATTCTCCCAAAACTAAGAGGAAGAGACACACTGATAAGTTGTGAGGCAGCCTATATTTTTTACATCATCATATCAACTATTTAGTATATTAACACATGTATCAAACAGCAAATTCCCTTGCCTACTCTAAACCAAGATTCTGAGAACTTGATACAACTGGTTTTCAGCATCGTCCAACAATATATAACTTACCATACAATAATTCTTTGGCTTTAGTTACTACTTTGCCTTCCAAAGAACCTGCGTGCTCTTAAATCTTTTATTTCATCTTCGCTCTAATCTCATGATATTGGAAAGACAGAGAACATCCTCTTTCTGTGGATAAGGAAGTTGAGAAGCTGAATGGACTAAAATCAGGAAGTAAATCTAGAGAAGTGAGATGGGAACTCAAGACTCAAGTGTTCTCAAGAGTGGGGGTAATTTGATGCTGTGGCTATGGCAGTTCTTGTAAAGGAGAGTGGTCAATGAACATAGTGCATTGGACCTAAGCAGGCCCTACCTCACTGATTGCCTTGACATTGACTATTATCCTTTAGTGAATGTCACAGTCCAACAGGACACACATTTCTGTATATTCCCCCAGGCTGGAGAATATGCATTTCTTAGAAGTTCCTGAATGGTAGAGTCTTGCTGGTCTTCAGACCACACTCTTTAGTAGCAAGGGGCTGGAGTGATCACAGGATCCCAGTAATCAAGTCATAACTCTATCACATGAAACAAAGGACGCAAGATACAACATAGGACCATTCTACTCATTTTGTGCAATGTCTCAGGATTGTCCTTCTACACACATGTGAGGAAGATCGTACGCTGTGTTTGTTTTGTCTCCTCCTAGTATATGGATACACAGAGAGAGCTAGTACCAAAGTGTTAAAAAGAAAGAGGAAAGAATGACTGGAGAGAAGGGAGATGTGAAAGTACACAGAAGACCTGAGGAAGGACTTGGGCCCTTCTCAGAAGGGAAGGACACGCTTGGCTGTAGAACAGACCAGGCTGGTGAGAGTCCTCTTCCCCATCATGCTGCATTGGAACCTCTGGCGTGCATTACTCCTATGAGTTTCCCCTTTGTCAACTTCAACTTCAGATTGACTCAGATCCCTCCTTCAAAGTCCACGATCAAAATCGCTTCTACCTCCTGGAATCTCTCTTAACCTCCCCAATAATCAAAAGCATCATTCCAAAAACCTCACACAAGACAAGAAACCCAACTTCAGTCTCATCTTCTCTGAGACAGAAATGAGAGGCAAGTCCAGAACATGCTCTGAGCTCTACGAGGACGCTGAGAGCACAGAGGGGGATCTTCTTACCCAATCTGGCGGTTGGTGGACGGGGCCTGTGTGATGACGGAGCTGGACTGAGGAGACGGCATGGCTTGCTGAATCACAACGCTGGTGTCATGGTTGGACATCCTGGAGCCGCCAAGCTGGTGAGCTCCGGGCCCTGTCATGGTTCCACCGACCGTATTATGCATCGAGATGTTCTGCTCAGAGAAGACAGAGGAGAAAGGTCAGACGAAATAAACATTGTGCTCCACTATTAAGCTCTCAAAGGCCAAGATAGGGAATTGGGTTATAGCAATGAAATAGAGTTATGATTTCTGGCAAGACTTGAGTTCATTCACCTTGCTATTATGATGAGATGAATAATCACTTAAATCAATGCCCCTCCCTCAGAGTAAAGCAAATAGAAAAACATCTTGAAGTTTTACTAATCACTAAGACATGAGCCTGATAAGGAACATTTTAGACATCCCTTCTTGGTGAGATAAATGCTGCATTTGAAATGACTTGTGGTAAATTTCCAATGCTGTGACTTGATGGCTAGTCATTCTACATCCTACTTTGAATTGCAAGCACACAGGGCTGTTTTCTTTTGCATTCCCACCCTCACTCACTGCACTTCCCCAGAAAATGGCTACTTTTCCAAACTGGGGTAGTGGTGATACAGCTGGACCATCTGTGGAATGAGGCTGGAAAATTCCAAAAGAGAACAGGGCATCTGGGACCCAGCAACAAAGTACCAGAACTGTAACTCTCTATCATGTTTGCTGAAAACCAGACTCTAACAATTTTATGAAATAATGATTGCTTTCCTCTAGAACATGCAATGTTTGTGTTCATAACTCCATCCCCGGCTGCCCAACATGCTCCTTGGCTCACAGTTGTTGTTTCTGTCACTGAACCAACTACAATGAGTGGAAACACCATGTACATAGAGTGAAGGGACACCCAGGCCTATACCATACCATCTCTATGATCATTTGTATGTTCAGCCCACTGTTGCGTCCTCTGTGCATTTTAACTTCTTTTCAATATGAGGGCTTATTATCCAGAATTATATGGGACAATACTGCATTGTGATCCCTGGGCTTTTATAGACACACCTTCAAAAGTTCATCACCAAACCTTCTTCTTAGTCTTTCTTGATTTGGATGCTATGCTAAAACTTGTCCACCATAAGTGACCTTAATGGTTGTTGTTGTTGTTGTTATTCTTATGTGCCATCGAGTCGTTTGCGACTCATAGCGACCCTATGTACAACAGCCCTAAACCCTGCTCTATCCTGTGCCAATCGCATTGCCGCTGACACACCCATCCCGATTACCCGAGTCACTGAATCAATCAATCTACCTCATAGAGGGTCTTCCCCTCCTGAGCTGTCCCTCCACCCTACCAAGCATAATGTCCCTCTCCAAGGACCTGTCTCTCCTTACATGTCCAAAGTATGTCAGACGAAGCCCCAGAATCCTTGCCTCCAAGGAGTAG